GTATTGAGTAATATTGTTTTGTTATGACAAAAATTTGATCTATATATATATATGTAAATACCTTGGTACAATATTTCATAAGTAGAATACAATATTTTGAAATATATGAGTATAACTGTGATACAAACTGAACATCGTCATAGTTTCTGTTGAAAAATTTTGATGAATTATAAAATAATTTGATATGTCAGTTCTCCTGATGATACCTCAATCGAGCAAATCATATTTATATTGATACAGTTTGTTTAAAAACATATTTTATAATAACATATCAGTTAGTTAATTGATAGTTGATATAGACATCCAGATATGATATTCAAAGTATTGTACAAAGATATGTTTCTTAATTTCTGTTCTAATTAAAGAAGATTCATCAGCTAAGAAGCCTTTGCATTTTTGTTTGTTTATTCATGCTTTATCTTGAATATGAGAAGTAATTCAAATAAGGAACACTATTACCTATTTGATTAAAAGAAGTGACTTGTTTTTAGAATCTTCAATAGATGTTAACATGAACATCTAATTTTTTATTGTGAAGAACTGTAAATTAAGAGATAATATATGGATGACAACTATAATATCGACGTTTCGACCAACTTCAATGGTCATTAACAAGATACTCCTTATTCCAGCACCACCATCTATACCGATAATCATTATATTTGCGTCTCAATACTCCACGAATACATAAATACAATATTATTAAAGAGACCTTCTATTCATAATTTTATTGTTCTTCATAATAAAAAATTAGATTTTCGTATTATTTTCTTATTTGTCTTATCAATGATATAGATATTAACATCTCTTAGGACTGATCAGGATCATTTGAGTAGAATATAATATATCCGTCAATCTTACGTATGTTCAGAAATGAATGGTCTATCTGCGAAGTTTGAATAGACAAGATATAAATTTCCTCAATATAACCGTCGTTTTATTAATTAGATAAAATAAGAAGACTACAATCATGACATCAGATCAAGAGAAAACAAAACTTTTTCTTATTACAATACATAAATAATAAATATTTTGTCCTTTTTATAGATATAGATAATTCATTGCTACGTTAATCAATCTATAAATTATCAATTATATATTTATCTCTAATAAATATAAAATATCTACCATTTTTCGAACATGGTAGATCAATAATTTGTTCAAGATTTATGTAATCATATGGTTTATTATTGGCATGACTAATAAATATTTTCGAAGGTTTATAACTAAAATTAAAGATATTTTACTTTCCTAAACTAAAAAAAGTAATTACACATAATTTCTTTGATAGAAAATATCACGGATTTCAATCCAACCACAATTCCATTCAATTTCTGTTTTGGTCTCTTTTGATTTATTAACAAAACAAACTTTCACATTCGTAATCTAACGAAAATGGTTCAATGAATATACCAATTAATCATAACTTGTTACCTCATTATCATTCACATTATCAATAGTAACTAGAAAAAAATCGATATTATCTTTTCGAAATGGAATTTGATGTGTTTCTGATGAATGAAGTGCTTCTTCATATGATTTTCCATTAGCAAATTCGATCTATACAGGTATATTTCAAATACATAAAAAGATTTTCACATACATAAATCAAAACAAGATGTTCATCATCTGACTTTGATATATCTATAGTTTTCATTGAAATCGTAAACATATTAGATTCTATACAAATAATTAGTCAATTTCATAATTTAAATTCTTTCAATCTACCTTCATTACGATTAATAAGAGGAACAGATAAATATTCCTCTAAATTAGGTCCAAACCAATGATTAACAAGAAAACTGATGAATAAATTATTTTTCAAAAATTTGTTTAATCAGATTTCATTTACATACAAATATTTTTTATCATTGAAATTATTGATGATTTCAATACTTTCACAATAATATGGTAATTTATCAATACTATTACACCAAATTTGTATATGAAATAACTATCAAAAGAAAAAAGAAACATTTGAATTTCTATTTGCAAAAAATTTGACTTGTCCAATATCAATAGAATAAAAAGATGAAATACAAAAGAGATTTTTTGAACCAGATTGAAATAAATGATTATTTGTAGAATGTATTAAATGAGAATTTGAATTAAGATGAAGTGGAAGTGTTGAAGCACCATCACCAATCAATGCTAGATGCATATCTAGTTGAGTGGAACTGCTAATAGTACCAGTACGTATAATAATCGTATAGATTGAAGCTTAGAACAAGAGATTTTAAAGTATAAAATTAATTGTTTTGATAAATTACCAAGTTGTATTGGACCTTGATTTAATAATACATTGAAACTTTGATTGGAATCAAGCCATCGATGAATTGGAAAACTGTATATAAAATAGAACACTGATATAGAAGCATGTGAAAATTAGTTAACCGACAGGAAAACTGAATATTTTCATGATAGTTTGATAATAAAGGAATTTTGATAGAAGACAAAGTGTGTGCAACTTTGTTTATTATGATGCCTATATCACTCTTTTTCATGTATGTTGATTCTGCATAATTGTAATGGACGCTGAAAGGTATATTTACACAACATCGCAATTTACTCTTTTTTTGTATTCTTTCCTCTAGCGGTTTTATATTCTTCAATAATAGTAAACAATGTCTGAATTTCTTGATGATAAAATTCATCTATTTTCAAAGAATATAAATTGATATTTGAGACGATGTGACTTATCGGTAAACCTTACTTTCTTTTCTCAGATAGAAGATTAAACGTAAATGTATGATCTGCTCTGTATCCGGTATTTTTGAGTTCTTTGTCCCATAACATGATGTTACTTGTTAAAATATGTAAAACGAAAAGATTTATCATAGTCAAAATAGAAAATTGCTACTTTCTTTTCTACTGCATGACTCGCTTCTCTTGATTCTTGTTTCTTCCCTTTTCAGAGTAATCCGTGCAGTATCTACGAATATCGTACGCAGATTCTTTTTTTTTGACTTGTTAATTGCTGTTTCGAATTAGATTCTAAATTTTTCGGATGGTACATCAAAGAGTAACGATCACTTAAAAATTCTCACAAAACGTTAGGATGATAATGTTGTCTGCTGCATAGTTTTTCTTGTATATCAAATAGGGATTCACAGTTCACCTTATCGTTAGTCATTTATTCATAGAAAAATCATCATTCAAACTATCCATTTGTCTCAGTAAGTCAGCGTTCTGTTCTCTATTGACTTCTTCTGCCGACGTTTGAATTATACCAAATTTTGAACCAATTTTACATGAATGAACTGAAAAGACACGCATATTACATAAAAATATAAAAACTTTCTTCTCCTCTCTCGAATGTATTATATCCTTGCATTAGAGGACGAAAAAGCAACTTGAGTCATTATCCAGTTAGACACGAGATTCGATTTACACTATAACGGTAAGATAAAAACAGAACAAAAAAAGGTTATGCAGTGCATTTATAAAAAATTTACTAGTCGTCACAATGAATGTTTTAATTCTACATCGATTTTCAATATATATGAAACATCAGAATTTTTTAGGCTAATATATCGATTTATTTACTTTAAAACATTTTTTTCATATTCGTGTTCAAGTTCAATTGAATTTAATTTCCATCGTACATTATTCGCATCAAGTTTTACATGTACTAATGATAACTATTTACAATGAGAAAAAGAAGAATTATGAAAAAGATTTGTTTCGTTTACATTTCCAACATCAACTAATTCTAATTGACATT